AACTATTAGGATGATAAGAACTAAATGATATTTTTTGCTTGTTGTTCCTCAAAATTTTTCACAGAGTGTCCACATGATCGAAGGACACAACAGTCCATTAGCGTCGGTATAGTTTATTTTTTAAATAGCTGCACGAATTTACAATCAGACTGAGGAAAATTGAGTCCATAAAACATAGCAGGTTAACACAATTTACCTACTAGTAATTGAACTGAATCTGTTCTACATCGTTCTACATTCGTCGATTTATTTTTAAAGTTTCCGTACATATTTCAATAGGTTTATCGAACCACAGGTGAATTTTTATGTGATAATAGACAGCGGATTTCAGTCGGGCCTGGCAAGGTCAAACTCGGTACGGCTCGTGCGGGATGGGAATTCCGTGCAGTTACTGGCTGCACTTCGTTTACTTATTTAAAAAAAAAACAACGGTGCTTCGTTGCACTTTGCTGTTAATTCCCGTTCTCATTTACCTAGCTGTTTTACGAATTAAGTTTTCGTTAATTTTATTTATGGAATAAGTGAAGATTCAATGTACTAATTATCACCCGCTACTGATTCGCAGCGATTCACGCGTCCCCACCTATAATCGTGACGTAACCCGAAATCCGCGTGATAAAACCTTTTTCCCAGATCTGCGCCAAACCTTTTGAAGGTCATATTTTTTGAGAATTTTACTTTTATTCACTCCCTTGGGGACAGAATTAAAAACAGAGCAAACATACTTTGAAGGTACTTTTATGTTTAATATTTAAGAGCATCAATTTAAGTTGATTACTCCCTTAACATAAGAATTTTTATAGAATTAGTAAAAATACAGTTCATATCTTTTCACCCGTTAGGAATTCAATTTGGGAAAATCCTTTCTTAGAAGAAGTAGAATACGAATGAAGAATTTGCCTCTAAAGTTATTAGGTAAATACCGAAAAATGAACTTAGTCTTGCGGTGTGTAAATTGTTCACTTGAATGAGATCCACCTTTATTTTTTCTTACAAAACAGCTTTTGCTTTTTCAGGTCATGTGCGCAATTCGGACTCCCCTATTTAAACATACCTGTCGAAAAAGGGTGACAATATTGAAACACAGCCTTAAACTCTTTTTATAATATCGGAGAACAACTGTCATTAAAGACGAACAAAACCTTAAAAGAATTATTGCGTTTGAATTTTATTGTTTTCCATGTAAAGTTCAAACCTAGTACATCAACAATCGACAAACTATAAAAATTAACAATTTGACATTGTTTCGTAAGTTATTGTGTTGGGAAGTGTGCCTTAAAGCAGTAATGTTTTCAACTTGTTTAAGTTACTTTGTGTTGATAAAATCAATATTATACTTATTATTACAAAAAAAAAAGATTTAAATTTGCATTATTTCTTACTTCCACGGGTCCTTCATTTTATTTATTGCCCCTTTGATCTCTCAAAATCACTGATGCCATAATTCGAGTTCATTTTCTTAAGGAAATTTTGAAGCAACAACAATTAAGTAAACATTAAAAAGACCACTTTTAAAGTGTGTATTAATTGTTGTTGTTTGGCAGTTTCGTTTCTAGCTAAGAGCTGGGTAGTCTTTACGTTATATATTGAAATGAGCCGCAATTTTCATTATAGTGAAATTTTCCAATTTTAAGCACTAATTGCGAATTAGAAAAGGGTTTCAATATACCTATATTAAAGTGGATTTATGAAAGAAGAGTTTAACTTCAATTATATCGCAATTGCATACATCTCCTCTATTAATAAAAACAAAAAAATTGAAAAACTGGTCTCGGTGTTTTTAAAAATCCATACTTCACCCTTGTAAAGTGCGCATATTTTAACATAAATTTCTAGCTCTGACATCACCTTATTGTTGTACCCATATCCGAATACTTTTTGCAGAAATAATAACAAATCTTTAGTAAATTAGTGCATGTCGCTTCCTTTGCTCGATTTTCTCTTTGAATCTCGAAATGCAGGTAGCTCGAAAGTGCATATTCTCACGTCCGGCGAATTCTTGAAACAATCATGAACCATCCCACCCCACCCCACCCCATCTATTTTCATCTGCCCCTCTCAGTTTCCCCAAGCAAGGTACCAATCGGTGTTCATCCCTTACTATTATACCTACAATGATTTGTCTACCCATATCTTCAACCATACCCACCAACTACCCCATGAAATGTATTTAAATCTCTTGACGTCTAGGTACCACTCAGTTAAGCCAAATCGGCTAGTGCGAACAGGTTAGTTTTCGAAACGTGTGCAATCCACGTGTCGATATAGTGAACGTTTGACGTATAGTAAAGTGGACTTTGTGGTGTATTACCTGGTGGTAGTGTGATAAACTCACGTGTGGTTACCACGGATAAGAGCTTATATTGAGCTTATTTCTTGATCCAGCAAAAAGTATGTGTGAACTTTTATTACCAAGTTTAATAACGTTAACTAACCCCAAAGTAATTGTTGACAGTTTTGTAAATTTTAATTTGAATTATTAGTTTCTTCATCCTTCGTAAACTTTGCAATGTGTAGCACTAAATCTTTTGGATTTATTCTACCTCATGTGTCATACAGTCTGCATGAGATTTGTTTTATCCAAAATGGAATATGCTCATTAAATTGAGTCCTTTATGTGACTGTCATTAAAATTTAATTCAATTGATACCTCAACAAAATACGTACCTCTGCTTATTTGTACCTACTATACACTCAATATATGGTGTAAATCATTTTAGTCATCACTTGTCTGCAAAGTTTAAATGTTTTTGTTTTGATAACTGTTTTGCACATTTGTCGTATTGCCAATTACGAATATTAATTTTAAACTAAAATTTAAGAAACACAACACTTAAAAAAAATTAGGTGTTTATTTTGTATACGCATTTTTTATATATTGACAAGGATACTTCTATCCACTCATTATCGTGGCAACGTGATAACAGATTCATCTGTTCAATTTAAGACGGGTTTTTTAATTAATGAGATATCGAGGACTGCGCACTTAATGAGTTACCCTGTATAAATAATATAATTTGAATTATACCTGAAAAAAAATGATGATTATCTTGTTTTGTGGCAAAGGGTGAGAGCTTTTACTATTCACTGTATAATATTGTAAAGTAGAGTCTGCCAAATCGTGAACTTTCTGTTTAAAAAAGTGTTTATTGAAAGCCCTTAATAAACAGATTATAATAGTGATGATTTAAAACGATTTACAACGTCCTTGAGTTGCTTGACTAAAACTCTAAATGTCTGATGCATAGAACCTTTGATAATCGAAGAATGTCACTTTCTTTTATGCCAAAAAAACAGAAAAAAATGCTATTGATAAATACATATTTAATTCTACATTTTGTATTCATCTTATAAGTCTCTACGGATATTCATCTTTTCTTTAAAATTTAATGGCCAGACATTACACTAATAGTTGTTGTTGTCATTATTTTTAAATTAAAATCAGTTGGGCGTCCAGATACAAATGCTGTGAAGGACGTTCCTTTGAATTTGTAAAATAATAACAAGGATGTTATAATTACAGTCTGTTTGTTTTAAGAATTCTTGTAAAACCGCAACAAATAATACTTCTCAGACGTTACTATATTTGTCTCACTTTCTCTCATTGCGCTTGAGATGGTACGTATTGGCGTATTGCCTAGCATTTTAGGGACGGTTCTAACTATCTACCGGACCGTTCGTACAAAGCAGAAATTCTCAAACAAAAAGATATTGTTTTGTTGAACTTGAAAAGGAGATGAAATGTAAATTTTAAGTTAGGTTATGTTTAATTTTCAGAACTACTTATTTTAAAAACGTTTTGCGCATTTTTTTTTTGTTCTTAGAGGTTCCTTTGCACAAGGTTAGTGACGGTCAAAAGGTATATAGCAGCAATAAAATACCCTGTTCAGTCTTATACTTATATGTCACTTTCCACCATTGGAAGTGAAGTATGTAATAGCTCACTTCCAGACTTTTAAAAAGTTTGAAAATGACACATTACTGACGGATTGTGAATAAAATAGATTATTTTAACTTCTTCCATTTACCTAAAAATTTTGCACAAATGACTTGAATAGTACTAACTTCACACACAGGGGATTTTGTAAAAGTGCTCTTACTCGCCTTTACCAGGATAATAAAATCACTCTGCTTTGTATAGATTTGTTTGAGTTACAAACAATATTAAAAAATCCCTGTGTTACTTTTTTGCTTTAATTATAGGTATAATACCTAATGTGTGATTACTGTAATATATAACATTCTAAAAACGAACAGAAGCAGAAAACTCGGCGAATCTCGATAAATGTTTGGAATTTGCCAATAGATACTGATCAAAATAATTCTTAATCCTTTTTTTCATAACGTTTATGTAAGTAGTCAGTTCATTATATTATATCTATGTATTTGTCAACCATTAAATGTGACTATTTAAAATTGAATTTATTATTATTGTGACTACTAAAGTCAGATTACTTTTATACTTGAATATTTAATGTATTATTATTGTTTAATTAACTAACTAATCATCAACTCCAAAAAACTTTTTAAGTTTTTATCGTCTAGAAACCATATTATACAGTAACTTCCTGTTTCAGGCAAAGGGCCTAATTTAAGAAAAATGTAAAAAAAACGATATAATAGTTATCACTTTCTAACACGTGTATCAACTTTACTTATACAAAGTTTAACATGAAACCAACACAAACAAAGACTTTTCCTTTTAAACGTCTCTCTGTCTAGCTGCGGTAAAGCAAGTCGTTAAATATTTCCACATCACTACCTGTTTTCATGAAACAAACCAGTTCCCGAAAATCCTGATGCCCACCACCAAATGTCGGCAGAAGATTTCTACGAGATTATCTCTTTGTCCCCGTGTCCTTTGAAATCCTTACAAAAAGTGGAAACGCGGCAAACTTCAATATTTTCTTACCGAGAATTCCGTCCATGCGTCGGTCAAACGCGACAATAATAATGAGCATGTTTTCAAACTTTATGTGATTGTCGTTCCGTTGTTGCAGTGAAAATATCCTGCCTCAAAACGACCCCTCCACCAGAAGAAGATAACAGAGGGTGTGTGGCAAGTGTCAGCGAAGGAAGTTTTTATCTCCCAATGAACATGCAAGGGTTTGTCAAGCAACAAACGGCGCCGCATGGGCCTCCCTACGCCCCACATCCTTCGCTTGGTTCGGGCCTGGGTGGCGGCCTTTCTGGAATGCCCATGCCCGCGCTTGGATTCGGTCTAGGACACCCTCTGGAATCAGTCCAGTTCCCGCAAGGTAAATATATACAATTAATTCTTATTGTGAAAAGGACGAAGGTACCACGGAATCTGGCAGCAATTTTTTTAGTATGTGTAGGATGGAAAATGGAACATTATTAGCTTGTCGCCTGTTATTTGTCATTTTTATTCATTAAATTACGTACAGGGTTGCTAAAAAGTATGGATACAGCTATAGTTTTGGAAATTTCTTTCTACCCTATAAAATTTTATTGACAATAACGAGACGGACAGTAGTACAATGGTAAGATATTTACCTATGGCTCACACCAGTTCACCAGAATTTGTCGGACAACATTTACCAGGTAGTTGTACTCATAAAACAAAGGTCATATTCATTCGTGAGTAACCATGGTCCCTGTCCGGACCTGGATTACTCTGCTTTTTAAAATCTTTATTCTCAAATGTACAAGAGTGTTCTTAATTTTTTCAAGTGGAATACCCTATATGTGTTTGCATGTTTTGATTGACCTTTTTTTTGTTTAAATTCCGATGGGAAGTTGCCACGTTATTCCAATATTTTTTGTAATTTTTAGCAATGGAAAAGTTCACAGAAAACTAGACATTTAGAACCTACATTATTTTGTGGAAAGATAAATAAACTTACTCACTATGTTGTATTTTATTACTGCATCTTATTCTTATTTTGTTCTCTTGTTTTTTTTGTATTTTCTATATTTGAAGTTGATAGTTTCAGTTTTGGAAAATTTTCTCTTTAATGATAAATATACTCACATACTAAAAAGAACAAAAAATAGAGTAAGATTCAGTAATAAAATACAGGATGTTCTATTTGAGAAAAATGAAAAATGGCTATTTGAAAATTATAAATTTCAGAATTTTTTATAAATATTCTGTATACCAAAATTTGATTTAATTCATTTTAACAAAGTGGCTACTTCTGTTTATCTCTCCATAAAATATTACAACACAGATCTACAAAATAATATTATTACAATTACGATTATTTTTGTGAACCCTTGCATTGCTAAAAAAAAATCAAGAAAATGGGAATATCATGGCAACGTCGCATCGAAAAACATAAACTATTTCTAATAATTATTGAGATACCTAGGATCGAGTGCTTAGTGATTCATCCTGTAAATGTAGGTACAAATGTGTAGTATATACTTCTTTCTTGCAGACAACTGTGACGTTAGTGAGCTTAGTTTAGTACCACAAAAGGTTAAAAAGTGTGTTGTAATCTTTTTTACAAAGAATTCTTCATCTCAGAAGCATAGCAAATATCCCATGTAATCAGTGCGAATTAATACTTAGAGATACAGTAGCGCCAAAAAAAAAAAAAAATCGGACACCCTCTTTTTTTGAATATCGCATGTTTGCGACGAAGGTCGACCAAACTGGTATGTGGTTTATGTTCTATACTTGAAATTAAATGGAAAGAGGGCAATGTTAGAGACTACAAAACAATTTGTGTTAAAATATTTTTAACATTTTTTGTACGTAATCGTGCTAAAAAAATCGAGCGCTACTGTAATTGATGCACGTTGACGTTATCAGTTTTATTCAATATCTTTATCTTAGTTTACAAGAGTTAACATTAGAAAATTAAAATTCATCCAATCAAATATTATTTAGTTTTGTCCAAGTATCATTTGTACGATTTATAATTTTATTTTTGTCAAGAAACCTTTTTAAAACATATTTATATCACTTTATTAGTGTAACCTGTTGTATAAAAAGTATTCAAGACATTAAAAAAATCTTTCCTGAGTAGCTTGTAACCAATTGTATAACAAAAAAATGCTGGATTTTTCTAGAATATGTAATCTTGTGTCCATTTAAATTCAATTTCGGGACAAAAATCGTTTTTACACTCTTACTTGACTTTACACCTCATTGCAATTAGTTCATGTCAAAAGAAGAATAAAGTACGGTCATTAAATTTTAATATTCTGTCATTGTGGTTATACTAAAGAACCACTGTTCAAGTTCACAATGCCATCGGAACGCATTTGTTTTACTAGATAACACAGTATCCGTAAAGAAAGCCTATGATTTCCGAGTGTCGTGTCACTCCTGCTGTTCACAGGCTTCGCGTATTCGTGTATGTTTACTGTGTGTTTACTGCTCGATGACCCCTTAAAAGTCACATCAATAATACCCGTTAATTCCCGAGACGTATTATACAATTTAAATTAAAAGAGACTTTCAACTTCAATCAGACGTCGACGGGACCTGAAACAAGTTCTTACAAAATTAATTAAAGCAAAATGGGAAAGGAAAGCATAATACATTTGAACGCAGATGAATTTATTTACGTCCTGTCAGAACCAAATGGCTTGCATTTCTCTCATTTATAAATTCTGATTTGGGCGACAGTCAGCTTTCATAAATTAATTTGTGTATCATTGTTATTCGACAAGTGTCATTCAGATTTGATCTCTACTTCTCGTCTGAGCGTTGGACGTTATCATTAGTAATATTTCTATCAAAATTGCAACGTTTGGGTGTGTTACGGCAACTTTGTCGATAACAAGAGTCACTCAACATTTTAAATCCTCACTAATCCGGGTCCCCGTTCCTATCGCGTCATTTTAAACAATGCTCGAAGACCATTGTTCATGCGTATCTAGAAGAAATGCACATATTTTTACATAAATGATTGGACCGATAGTATCACAGTTATTTGTATTAAAAAAATTGTTAATAGCGGTTTTGGTGGCCTGTTGGTTCGATATATAATGTATGCAATAGGGTGCAAATGGCATTGTTCACGGTAGAACTGCGGCTAAATGGAATTTCTGCTTCAGTTTATAACCGCGTTTATACAGTAGCCAAGTTAGTTTCGATTCGCAGTGAGAGCAATTCTGGTCGATGGGAACCACCACCTGGCCAATGAACGTTCTCTGGGGTGTCAAATTGAATCACTGATGTTTTATTGGGGTATTTTAACCGTGAATTATCTGCCCCTCGCACGTGCTGTTTCAACGTTGCAGATTTTAGACGCGGACTTGAATAAAATTGATAATGCCCGGAATCAACCGGAAGCAGACGATCCTCTGCTCAATCAGTCAAAACGAGATGCTTGCACTAGATCACCTATAACGTTCAGCATAGAATTAATTCCCAAATTTTGTCATGCTTGTCACAGTTTTATCGGTATGATCTTATCGGACGAGGTCTGTTGACTATTTCTGCGTTATTCAATTCACTAACCGTCGGTAAATTTGTATTTGAAACTTGCAGTCTTTTATTGTTAAAATCTCTCTCATTCCATATTTAATGGTGTTCAAATTTTATTTTGATTTGTTAGTGGTTAGTCATCAATCTCAATTTTTCTTAAATAGTCAAAACGTTATTGACTCTGACAATACGATCTCCACTGCAGTCAAAACTCTAAATTTAATGAAAATATTTTGGATTTCACCGACGGAACAGTCGTAGATGAATTTTGAAATTATTTGTCAATAAAGGGTACACATGTGTGTTGTCGCAATATGCCCAGATGATGAAAATTCTTCAATCAAAAATGAAAATTGTCGACAAAATTAATTTAACAATCAACAGTCTACTTTTTTATTCAATACCATAACATGCATTAGTTCGCACGTCTCCTGAATCTTAGAATATTACGAGTCTACTTAGGCGCTTGTTTCATAACTTTCATACATTAATTAAATACATGCACGTTCGTAGCCTATAAAATAGGATGCAATAACATCCAGCACAAAAGGAGAGAAAGCAAACAAGGGTAGACGCGTTAAAAAAACAAACTGCTCCCTTCTGCAAATAAAGTTAAAATGACAAATTGATTTAGGAAATGTATCTTTCCCGCCTGCATAACAAGTAACCATATGTTTCTGTTCACAATTGCGAATTTTAACATCATCAAGAGTTTAAATAATGCGGAATCAAATGTCGTTCTCTAGCTACACCAGTGTGTAAATTCTATAACACTTAATAGAATATGAGAATGTGATACGTACCTTTCAGTGACATGTTACTATCAATAATGATATTTTTCGAAAGTTCATTTAATGATAAAGTAATTAAATCCTTTATTTATTCTTGTTATTGTTTAAAAGAGATACTTGCTTACCTCCTACTGGAACCGAAAATTATTTTTTAGAGTTCAATAACGGTTAAATTTGTGTAACAAATACTTAAAGTAGAGTCCGCCAAATAGTGAACACTCACATTTTGTTAATTATATTTCCAGTAACCACAAGCATAGGCAAAACTTGTCCTTTTTTCCGGAAACGTAGGTCCCAAACGACAACCAAAATGCAAGGAACCATTTTCAACTACCACATCTATCGCTTGGATTTCAATGTTTTGTTCAATTGCGCTTTTCCAAGTTCGCATCACGTACTTCGTTGTAACCTCACTTTTTTGACATGTCGTGTTTATAAATTTATTCAAATTTTACGTTAAGAAACTCATCTATATCATAACAACCCTTTGTTATTACCATTTTTTTCAATATCTCTAGAGTACCTATTATGAGGTACAGTTTTAAGTAATTTTGGTAATGTAAAGCTGTACCATTTACGGCATCTGGTATATTAGGTTTCTGTCTTCGTTCCACATACTATATTTATGCATCCTGCGTAAGTACAGTGTGTCGGACAAAGACAGAAACAGACACATCCCGTTTTACTTTCCAAAATAACTTTTTTTGAGATAACAATGTATTTTCACAGTGTCATCATCAAACGACTTTTTTAAATATCAACTCCAACTTTCTTTATCGAATCTTTTTATTGCTTAAATGCCTAAGCACTTTTTTGGGAAAAATCCTATTATAATTGCAAAAATAAATTCCATTTCGTCCATACATTTATGATTCTAAATTCTAGTAACAACATAAACCTTTAACCGTCACTTGGTCTAACAAGGTTGATAAATGACACAATTTTGATGAAAATATTACAAATACAGTTCGAACATACATAAAAACAAATTGATACTGACCGTGTTGCCACTAACCCTTCAACAGCGACAAATTGTCATACTATTTAATTTCTACCATTA